CATGGCATACGCACACATGCCCTAAACATACCACGTACTCATGCCTGCACTAAGTGTGGCTATTCGCCGTTTGCAAAGTGGGGCGCATATCCAAATATGCATTGATTGGAGGGACATATGCAGAAATTAAAGGACCTCGCCAGAAAGAATCTTCTTTATATGCGGAAATTCATCCCAACATGGGATTGATGAAGGTATATATACGGTATATCTAGATCACAACTACCAATCTTGGAAAAAATGTGGAGCATTGAGCTTGAGATAATTTGATGGTAATTTTTACCCCGCCCCACCACTGTCTTGGTGGAATATCCGGGACGGAATCTTCTCACGGGTGGTCACCATACCCCCTTGCGCACAATGTGAGCTGTAAGGAAACATCTAATGCCAAAGGTGGAATTGGCAAGTCTTGGGTTCATGTATAGTTCCAGCTTTCGAAAAGTTAAATAGTCGAAAACAAAAAACGGCCAATTTGCCAATTTGCAACTGACAGATTCGTTGCTCATCCCAGTACATGTGCTTTACATGCGGAACTTGAAAACTCACTGAGGGGCGGGTTCCACGATACAGCACCTGCAGTGCCCGGCAGTGCCCTCCAAGTCCAAGCAACTGGGACAATGCTTCCGGTGCTGGGCTGACTTCAGCGACGACCCGGCGAACATCCTGATCACCGATTTCGACACGAGATCCACAGGCCGAGCGAAGGCCCATTGCCGGCACTATATGGCGACTCGACCGACGCCAGCCCAACGGAGGGTACCTTCAGGATTCAACATGCACGACGACAAAGAGCTGGCCAACGGCGCCTTGGTTTGCTAATGCTGACACTGAAAAAACGGCTCTCTCCCCAAGTATATTGGAAAAACACCAGTCCTATAGTTCTGCTGGCTGGTTGCACTCACGCTTTTTGCTGTTGCCCCCCATTATTGGTTTCATCGAAGGCAGCTGTGGAAATCTCCAAGCGGATGCCTGGCACTCAGGATGGTCAGCACCAGCGCTGGCATTTCTTCTATTCCAGCTCGCAAAAATGAAGACCCGACTACTAGACTTAGACTACACGCCAAAAAAAAGAGGTTTAAGATGGTTTAAGCATCCAAAAACGGAGACGCCCAAAGATTTCAGCATCCCAAAGTGAGAGGATTTGAGGATGGACCATCCACAGGACAAGTTTTGTGCTGTCGGTTTTCACGGCCAGTTGCCCACTATCTCGGTGCCGGGAGGGTACACGTATCAGATATGGTGATGTGGCTGGATGCATTAACTTCTGGACCTTTAGTGGCCAATTTATCCCGATACAAACTTGAGTACAGCAAACGGCCTGTACATATTACCCCAACAAGGGGATGAAATCTCAGACTTGTTTCTTCGTCAATTTCCCCAATCAACATCATGATTCTAAGGGTTCTTCCATGCCGCTGCTTCAAGCCCACTATGTGTTGTTTGCGGTTACAAACCTCTGGCACCCCGGCACCATGTTTGCTGGTGAATCTCCACCGTCACCTTCGTTTATTGATGTATTCATCGCTGATGAAATCCTTTTTCCTCGGTTTTTCAGCATGTAAACACGGTCACTTCCCCATGGCCCCATGGCCCCATGGTCAATCAGCTGTGTCGCCAGGTACAAGGCCTACTGCGACTCGCTTCAGAAGTTGGTCCTGTCTTCGTGGCACGTCTGGTCGCATCAGGAACGTTCCTCACGCCATGCAGAAGAAGCCGAGAAGAAGTACGAAGAGGTTACCCGGCGACTGGGGGATATGGATGGATCCTACCATAGTACTTGCCCATGTATATAATATGTATATATTTATGATTATGTTTGTATATAATTAAGGCTAATTAAAGATTTATTGTGAGAATTGATTTGGTGAATAGACACATACATATATATATATATATTAACTATTTGGGATTTGGGTATTGAACAAGCACTTTACCATTCAAATTGCCGCGTTACCATCGAAAATTTAGGTTCAACCACTGGAACAGTTCATGAGTTCCATTGTGGCACAAACCAAGGCTCCGCGACTTCATGGTATCACATATAAATCTGTTGCTAGTTGGATACATCCCTATTCTTTGCCCGTATCCCAATCACCAGGTCTTATGAGAAGCCCAACCCCATAGAGATTGATGTTTGTTCCATTAAACCCCATTGATCCCCATTAAAGCCGCTGATGAACCCAATTTTTCACACACCATCTGCCCCATCTCTGCCGGAGATGATTTTCCGCAGGAGATGGCGAAGATCAAACGCCTGGAGATGGAGAAAGCCAACAAAGCGGCAGCAATTGCTGGGATGAACCTGTACAAGAAGGCGGCTAGTTCTCCTGGAAAACCGCTGGGTGAAAGCTAAACAATGTGATTTTACATTGCTAAGAAAACATTACAAAGATGTGTAGGTTTGGAAAAATTGATTCGTGGGGAGAATTATGTTCCGGTATATATCTATGGAATGTTTTATGCGCAGTAATATGTACAAAAGATATAGGACGTGTTGAATAATTCCGATATACAGGCTTCATGGTATGCTTGGTATTGAATCGACCTAGCGCAAAGGCAGTTTCTCATCATTCAGGTTGATAACAACAACAGTTTCTTGCTAGCATGGCATCATTGATTTTTAGCCCCATAATTATCATTGTCATGGTAAAATTAAAGGACCGGATAACCCCACAAGTCAACTTCTTCCAATAATAAGCATGAAAGGTTGTAGCAGGGACGGGGAAAGAAGGTAAGGGAAAGGAGGCGGTGAAGGATCGAGAAGTTAAAACAGTTGTGAGTGACAAAGTGGAATGTGAAAGATGGTGCGCGACGAAGAAGGATAGTGTGCGTGTGTGTGACAAAGCAGTGTGTGAAAGATGGTGTGTGTGAAAGTTGTGTGTGAAAGAGAGCGTGTGACAAAGTTGTGTGTGAAAGATGGTGTGTGACAAAGTGGTGTGTGTGACAAAGCAGTGTGTGAAAGATGGTGTGTGTGAAAGTTGTGTGTGAAGAGAGAGTCAAAGATGGTGTGACAAAGTTGTGTGTGAAAAATGGGGTGGTGATGGTGTGTGGAAGATGGTGTGGTGATGGTGTGTGACAAAGTGGTGTGTGACAAAGCAGAGTGTGAAATATGGTGTGTCAAAGATGGTGTTTGACAAAGTTGGGTGTGAAAGATGGTGTGTGAACGATGGTGTGTGACAAAGTGGTGTGTGAAAGAAGATGTGTCAAAGATGGTGCCACGCCTGCCACGCAAAACGAAGTTGGATGTGAGATTGTGCCACGCCTGCCACGCAAAACCAACGTAGATGTGACCAAGTGCCACACCTGCCACGTGAAACGAAAGTGGATGTCACCAAGTGCCACGCCTGCCACGCAAACAGCCGCGACGTCACGGGCGACAAAACCGGGCCCAAGGGCGCCCCAAACGAAGGTGGATGTCACCAAGGGCCACGCTTGCCACGCAGAAGTGGCGCTGCGCCACGGGCGTCACGCGCGACTAAACCGGGCCCAAGGGCGCCACCCAGTGCCATGAATGAGGCACCTGCCACGCAAAACGACCGTGGATGTGAGATTGTGCCACGCCTGCCTTGTGAAACGAAGGTGGATGTCACCAAGCGCCACGCCTGCCACGTGAAATCAAAGTGGATGTCACCAAGTGCCACGCCTGCCACGCAGAAGTGGTGCGGCGCCACGGGCGTCACGCGCGACTAAACCGGGCCCAAGCACGCCACCCAGTGCCATAAGTGAAGCGCCTGCCACGCAAAACGACCGTGGATGTGAGATTGTCCCACGCCTGCCACGTGAAACGAAGGTGGATGTCACCAAGTGCCACGCCTACCACGCAGAAGTGGCGCGGCGCCACGGGCGTCACGCGCGACTAAACCGGGCCCAAGCGCGCCACCCAGTGCCATAAGTGAAGCACCTGCCACGCAAAACGACCGTGGATGTCAGATTGTGCCACGCCTGCCACGTGAAACGAAGGTGGATGTCACCAAGCGCCACGCCTGCCACGCAGAATTGGCGCGGCGCCACGGGCGTCACGCGCGACTAAACCGGGCCCAAGCGCGCCACCCAGTGCCATAAGTGAAGCGCCTGCCACGCAAAACGACCGTGGATGTCAGATTGCGCCACGCCTGCCACGTGAAGCGAAGGTGTGAGTTTTTGAGTGTGTGTGAAGTTATTGTATGTGAAGTTATTGTATGTGAGAGATGCTATGTGACAAAGTTGTGAGTGTGTGAGTGTGTGTGTGTGACATTATTGTATGTTAAGTTTCTGTGTGTGAAGTTATTGTATGTCAGAGATGCTATGTGACAAAATTGTGTGTGTGTGAGTGTGTGTGTGTGTGAAGTTATTGTATGTGAGAGATGCTATGTGACAAAGTTGTGTGCGTGTGTGAAGTTATTGTATGCGAAATGTGACAAAGTTGTGTGTGTGTGAGTGTGTGTGAAGTTATTGTATGTGAAGTTATTGTATGTGAGAGATGCTATGTGACAAAGTTGTGAGTGTGTGAGTGTGTGTGAGAGAGGCGGCGGGAGGCGGAGGAGAAGGAGCCCGGGATACAGAATCAAAAACAAAAACCCCACACAAAGTTGTGGGGAAATAGATTGATAACGTTATAATATTTATCATTATCATTATGATACTGTTATAATATAATTATTCCATTATGATTGCCGTTATCATCACCATTAGTATTGTCGCTAGACCCAGGTCGAGCCAAACCAAACGATGGCCCCAATTGATGCTACCTTCTCCTTGGATCCCATAGCGGGGATGAAGGATACACTGCTGGCCATATCTTCAAAAAGGGTGCTCAAAAATCCCAGGATTCATATTGTCATAGCCAAAAAGATATTCAGCACCCTGCGAATCCATTTTGCCATTCTTACCATGTTTGCCTGTTTTGTCCTTTTGATATTTCACTCCCAAGGTTTGGAAAGCACAAACTCTGTATAATGACCACTTGGACTTGGATTAAACTCTCATGTGCAACCTCTCAAGTACACATTCATGTCGCTGCAACCCCCATTTGCGGCGAGGTCTTGGAATTGGCCCATTTCATAGATCTTGGTCGGTCAATTTCTGGAAGGTATCGCCATTGACTCAGGTATAGATACTCTCCTAAACGGACCCAAGCTTATACTCAGAGATGGGAAATGGATCATCCCCCAATTTATTTTGCAATAAATAGCTCTCCCAAATGAAAACCATTGCGAAGTATGATCTCCAACGGCAACCATCTCCCCACAACCACATTGAACCCATTGAACCGCTGGAAACCACGCAGGTGCAATGGGACAACGTGTCGCTTCTGCTGACCGCGTGGAGAGACGTCACCAAAAACGAGCTCCTTGGGAGGCACCGGGACAAGAATCAGTGCCAGATGTTACCTGCAAAGGACAGCAACAACCCCAAAAAAAGTCGGATGTTGAACTTGACAAGGCTAAAGAGTGGGGAAATCACTTGAAGTTGGCGCAACGAAGCTAGAATTATACCATACAAACCGTTAGATTATCACGGGATAGGGCGCTTGGATGGGAGGATTCTGTTGGCTCCCAAGCGCCCTTCAGGAAGCTGGAGAAGGATATGCGGGAGCACAAGTTGACGGTGGATAACATGAAAAAGGACCAAGTTCCATGGGAATCTGGCCGGGTTGGTTACGGTTGATACCAACTTTTTGCGGTGCATCCAAAGGTAGCCATGAACATTGTCAGACATCCAAAGGTGTTGGTATGTTAAACCATCTAGGTATTCCCAACCTTGAATCCCACGGATAGGGTTTCTTCTGTTTTGGTTGAATATGCCTTGCAGAGCAAACAGCTTTGCCATGTTGATTGTCACTACCCCTTGGGGCATCTCCTCGAAGGAAGCAGTCCGCAAGCACGAGCAGATCCGGGATTTGGTGGCCGCGAACATGTTCAACAAAGATAAGAAGGACGCAGGAATTTGGAGGTCATAACTGTCATAACTTCCACAAATTCACAAAAGCACCGACCAAAAAACAGAGATTCTGGTTTGACGGAAAACCCCCCAGTGGATTTGGTTTTTTTAAGCACGCGGGTTACAGTAATTTGCTTGGGCTTCTGGGTCCATGGACCTGCGGATTTATTGTCCCAGCTGGATGGGTGACAACAAACCAGCCTACAACTTCGAATCTCCCACTTTGCGTGGGACTACTGTCATGATCCCATGTATAGCTCATGCCAGGAAATTCAAAGCGATGCCTTCGCGAAATGGGTCATCGGCTGGAGGTGCGGACCTTATAGGGATGCAGAATATATCTTTTTTTGGGGGTTAATAGTAGATATAGATATATATATACATATATATATATCCATATATATATACATATATATATACATATATATACATATATATATATACATATATATATATATAGACATATATATATACATATATATATATCCATATATATATATATACATATATATACATATATATATATATATACATATATATACATATATATATATATTTAGACATATATTTATATATACATATATATATACATATACATATATATATACATATATATATACATATATATATATATATATTACATTTAGGATATAACGAAAATGGGTGAGGTTCAAAATGCTCGGGTGATAGTTAAATTATTCAGTAAACAAATGGCGATATGATGGGAGACTGTCATGAGGTCATTGGATTCAACAGCTGACTGTGCACCGGGCACTCGGCAATACTGTCGCGGTGAGTGAAACAGCCATTCAAAAGGCGTCTTTTGTCAAAAACATATGGACAGATTGGTATATCATTGGTAAATTTTAACAGGTCGGTAATAATAGAAGCAGATTTTAACTATGAACAGATTGGTAAACCACCTGGTGATAGGCAGTCGAATCCAATCCAATGTTTTGCCGTTGTGATGGGGATATTTTTTAACTGAGCAGCTCAGGCTTTATTTTCTGAGGTATCTGGGAGTGGCCGCGTAGAGGAATGTGAGGGAAAACGATCTTTGTTTGAGATATTAAGCAACGAGAATTGCTCACAAGTGATGCTTCATGGTTACATTGGGCAGTGGCTGGTTCAATATGTCACGGCCACTGTAAGTGACTTACCAACCCCTTGTAACCAGCATTGGTGGTCCAAGCCTTGATCCTCCACGGTCCGAAAACTTCTGACATGTGGTGATCGTTACATCGCGAAAAACGCGACATATTAATAATTAATTGGGTGATCAGTTTTGGGATTTACATACATTTGACTAAATCCGCTTTGCTGATTTACCATGATAGGTATTTAGAGTTATTATGATTTATATATATATATATATATCTCTCTCTCTATGTATGTGTGTGCATTGAAATTGTGGTACTTACGATGCGTATACCATGATCGCTTGAAAGCCGCCATGATATAAACCCATAGTACGATTTTTTTACCCAATGTTGGTAAGTCGCCCTTATTTCTTTACATTTATTTACAATGGTAAAACCTATGCACCCCATTTATATTCATGGTGCTCGATGTTTTTTCATAATCATGACTAATCATGGAAAATCCCAGTCATTTATATACATTGACCATTTACCACAGTTAACTACAACCATAATTATTGATTTACGATGATTCTAAACCCAATGTAGAACCAATAGCTTGGTTAATCATAATATGGCAATACATAACCAATATTTTAAACGGGCTATACTATTTTACATAACACCAATATTGGTTATAGTACGATAGTTATTGGTTATTTAAATAGCTGGCGTATACCAAGTCTATTTTCTGAATACCAAGGCTCATTTCTCATGGTTCACTGGTTCCCCATACTTCAGGCTGCCCCGGCGAGGCAAACGGTGCTGGAGAGGCAGCAGCACGCGGAGAAAGTGCAGCTGAAGGATCAGATGGAAAAGCTGAAACGGTCAGAAGATGAAACTTGGTGAAGTTGCAGTGATTTAATGGTGATTTAGTGGGGTTTAATAGTGCTTTAATGGTGGTTTAATGGTAGTTTAATAGGATGTAATGTGGGTAAAACAATGTCATACCTTCCATGACTGGGAATGGTAAACACCACCTATGAAAATTGTGATTTGGGGGATGGTTTATTGTTGCTTTACCCACATTGATGGTGATGTTTGTTGCATTTGAGTGGGAGTAATAGGGTCTAATGGTGGTTAGTGATGTTTAATGATGGTGACTATAAGGAAATCATCTCCAAATGGCTTTGTATAATATCATGGTTGATGATGATGATCAATGATGGTCCCCCATACTTAGAATCAGACTAAACACCCACGCCATGGTTGTTTTTTTTGGGGGGTTATGATGACTAATGATGATGAACTATAGCCATATCCCCCATCGCTTAATTATCCCCCATCGTTTAAGGGTGGTTTAATGGGATTTAATGGCGTTTACTGGTGATCAATGATGATTATTGATGATCAATGATGAGTTAATGGTGATTAAGTTGCCTTTCATCCTGAAAAAAATACAATCCAACATATTTTAGGGGAATGGGGTTACTGATGATGGACACCGTATCCAGTGATGATTTTAATGGTTTTTAAGCCCCATTGATTATAGCTGACTACCCACCCTAAACCCTAGTTAACCCAGTCATAAAATATTCAAAGCATGATGTGCTTGTAACTAGCAACAGGATATTGGACAGGAGATGCAAACATGTCATCGTTTCAGCCAGAGCTCAGATTTTCCATCCATTCAAAATTTGGGATAGGTCATAGCCAGGTTGATAGATGCGCTGAATGCACTTCCTATTCACCTCCGAACGAGGAAAAGAAGCAGAAGATGAAGCACCTAATGGCGTCGCAGTTCAGCATCACAGGACCGTCCCAGCTGCAGGTCTTCTCATGACTTCTCTTCTTCTCGTGCCAAGAGGCTGTTGGTTTTTGAAAAGCCCGGCTGTCTGTGGAAGAAAAACATGGAGCTTTTCAAGGGAACAGAGAACTCATAGGATGCGATGTGAATCAACTGGCCCCATGAAGGTGCTTTTCTCCTCCAGTTTTTGTTGTACTTGATGGCGCTTCATCCTGCAAACTTCGTTGACCTTGCAGGAAACCGTGCATTGCTTCACATTTGTGCCAAGAACTCAGGAGTTGATCAAAGGCAGACACGTGATTTTTGCCTTTTAATCTCCATAACGCCGATTTTTCTATTGACACTGTTTTGTGAAATCATGTGCGAAGGCGTTTACATGTTCATGATTTTGTCATACATGCATACATACATCGAGACATGCATACATGTATCCATGACTACATTGGGATGCATAGGTAGAGACATAGAAACATAGATATATGTGTACAGGCATACAAACACATATGTACACATTCATCCATGCATACATAGAGATGTATAGATACAAAGATGCATAGAGATCCACAGATACGACTGTATGAACATGTTCACAGCCACAGCTGAGGTCAACAACTGGCGCCTCGTCTGGGAAGCTTCCAAAGTGGAGAAACAGCAAGCGCAAAAAGTGCAGGAACTCACTGGAAAGCTGAGGCCTCCTATGGGCAACGATTTGCTGCAAGTTAGAGGATCCATGTTTACTAAGCCAACATCAAACCAAGGATTAGCATAAGCAAAACAAAGCGCAAGAAAAGTGTTGTTTCTTTGCTTTTTTAAACATTCGGTAATTGGTGCTGCCTGGTTAGTTCATCTAATTGTGCGGCTCTTTGGCTGATTTTCAATCCAGGATCTCCCCCAAGCCAAGCATTGCAGAGGCAAATGGACAAAGACACGAATGAGTTCGTGAACCGCACCAAGGTTCTGTAGCGATTAGCTGGGCAGGTTTCCTCAGGTAAACTAGCAGCAATGTGTCTTTACAGCGCTTGGATGTGGAGTTTTACCGATCTGAAATTAACACGAGAGATCACAGTGATTGTTCAGCAGTCGGGGTATGGGCATGGATGTCCCAAATTTTGAGGACATGGATTGCTTCCGTTTGAGGAACTGGTGGTGATGGTGATGATCACTCATAGCCATGATGATCATGATCATGATGACGGCGACAACGATTATGTTTATACCTGAAACCGGGCAGAGACATGGCTTTGTTGGGGACGGATAGCTACAAGATACCCAAAGATGTCCCCCGACAGGGAACATGTCCAGGTTGTTTCGGTTTTTTGGCTTTTGATGCGATCCAACAATATCAAAACATCTTTGGTGTTGTGTCAAAGCTTTTGAAACCAGTCTATACCAAACCATCGGTGAATCCCAAAGCAAGTCAGTGATACAGCGCTATAAGTGAGCCCAATCTAAATCCCTACCTGGTTTTGTGAACTTTCTCCCCGACCAAGGGATGGTAGCCTCTTCTTAAAACAAACCAGGCACCATTCTATAGCAACGCACCGCCATCGCTAGGACAAGTTGGGACGTGCCTTCTACGGTGCGTCATGGGGGGCCCGTGGCTATACGGTGGCATTTGGCTTGAGATTCGAAAAGATGTCACCTCTACATTTCTGAACCGGGCACTTCAAATACCATCTACTTTCCAACGGATATCTTGGGGCCGATGATCTTTTTGGGTGACGTGGTTCATAGTTTTATGGGCGGTACACACACCAATAGTACATATATCTTGCATTTGCTGCCAAGTGAAATAGTCTGCTAGTCAGGTGCTTATTAATGTTGCTGAAGCCCTTGCTTCTGCTTGAAAATCGGATACCATAAATATGTTCTCTTTAGGACATGCCAACTCCATGTCATCTTGACATAATCTTGGCCTGCATGATTTGAATGTTCAACAATCATCATTTATATCATATTGTTTATCCATATTATATCCGTATTTTATCCATATTTCAGTTTAATGCCTTGGCTTATTGGCTACAGGTCGTCAACGCTTGGACTTGTTGGCCTTGGTCTTGAGCGCCTGGCGTCAAGACACCAAGGCGGCTCGGTTGTTCCCAGTCGCCATGGGCCATAGGTAAGGATGGTTTGGGGGTTAGGATCCCATTTAATATCCTATGTGGTTAAAACAATAATAGACCATCCTCCAAATCACCATTTTTATAGGTGGTATGTTTATGTATGTTTACCATTCTCAAATGGGTAGTTTATTATTGTACATTGATGGCTTCATCCTACCATTAAAGGGGATAATTTAATCCTCATAATCGTTTAACTAAATTTATACATGGGTTTGGGATTTAGCACATCTATGACACATGGAAACTTCCAAAGTGGAAACGAGTGTATCAATTGAGTATCAACTGGGCACAATGTTGGGATTTCTTCTTTGGTCCAAATGATTTGGCCAACAGCAATCAATCGGAGAATCAAAGTTGAGTCATAGAATGGGATTGAAAATTGGTTTTTCTATAAATCATCAATGCTAGCACTAAACCCCCCCTTAGTGTTAGGATGTTCCAAAAATATGATTTAAATTTAGATATAATCATCCATAATCCAATCCATGCTCTGCCATTATAGGTATAGGGCACCATTTACGGTTCAAAACGTAGGGGAACCTCCAACTTGACGCCCAGGAGGAAATCTCCATGCGGAAGAAGGCGGGCTTGTGGCCATCTCCAGTAGGTTCCTCCAATTGCTTAACGGACCAAATCCCATGTGATTGAAAGATGGCCCCAGCTCAATGATATTTGACTAAATCCAGATCATGAGATTGTGTAATTTAGAACCTGAAAAGCGGGGGTAGAGGAAATGATTATAGTGATGATGAACATATATAACTGGGCCATGATATTGTTAACCACTCTTCTTTGTTGATGAAACTGCGCCTCCGTTTTGTTGGGAAAGCCCTTGTTTCAATTTAGTTCAATGCGAATTTCTGAGTTTATCTCCCAATGAAGTCCCCACGGGACTGCTCCCTAGACATGCTGCCTCCAGGACGAAATGGCAAGCAGCTACGAGAAGGAGCTGCCCGGGGTCAGGCGATTTGACCCCAAAAGTGGCTGGTGGATAGCTGGTAGCTGAGTCAACCATTCCAGGATGTTGCGGGTCGCCAGATGAACAACGTCAAACGGAAACGTGTTGTAATCACACCTTAGTTTTCTTCGCTCCCGTTTACCTCACCCAATACTTCTCGGCGCTTTGATTCACCATGTCTGGCACGTTCAGAATGCTGATCCAGACGCTCATTCATCTATCTATCTGCCCGCCTATCCATCCCCTGCGAACTTGCAGGGGATGAAACATGTTGGAATAGATATAGATAGATATTCATAGCTACAGATAGGTCTTGATTAGATGGGCTAGATAGATAAGGTTGGTTAGATGGACTAGATATGTTAGACAGATTAGACGGATTAATCAGATTAGATTAGATTAGGTAAACAGGTAGGTAAGCAAATGTGCAGATAGGTAAGAAACTATGCTGATAGGTTGATAGATTCATTTTCCGAAAAGATGAATCATGATTAATGTATAGCATCGAAAACCATCGATTTATTCGCCACGTGTACATATATGCTTACACGTATATCACCCCAAACATCCAGTTGAATTTCCGCAGGACATCAAATTGCTTCTGAAGAAACAGAAAGAGCTGGATGCTGCGGCCAACGACAAAAAGGCCAAGGCTGCCCTCAGCCGGGGCACACAGCTAGCGGCTGAGCCATGGAGCATCGGGGTGGGGATATCACCGGGTATGGTGGGATATAATGAGCTCAGTGTGACCAACACTACGATATCTGGGTGTGTCTCAAGGTTGACATTTACGCCTCTTATATGTTTATCACAAATGTATGTATATATATATTTACATATATATATATGTATACATATATATATATATTATATATATATATACATATACATTATATATACATATTTATATGTAGCTAAAGACGTACATGTTTTGGTATTTCAAGGATGATATCTGCCCCTTATATATCTTACACGGGTAAGATTTGGAGTGGTCGCCTAGCTTCAAGGGAAATTGGGATCTCACACCCCCCCAAACATTCCCGCCTTGGGAGTGCAGGGTACCAAGGTCAAGATCATTAACATATGTCATTGATTCTATTTGTACATACATGTGTGTAAATTTTGATATGCACATACATACATACATACATACATACATACATACATACATACATACATACATACATACATACATACGCATGCATGCATGCATGCATGTATGCATGCATGTATATATATATATATGTAAAAGGTTTTGGGGAAACAGGATATAGACACATGAACATATCTATATCTATACATATATGTATATATACATTTATCTAAACAAAATAAACTCGTATATATATATATATGCTGCAACCCTTTGATTTCCCAGTCCTGAAAAGCATCAGCGTGCCACACAATAACTTCAATAACTATTTTGCATAGGTGATATAACTGTACTTAATGGAGATTATAAACCAATTTATAACTGGAGACACCACCTTGTACAGAATGGCCGCTCAGTTGATTCATCCCTTCTAATTTGAACATAGGTGATGTTGGAAGTGGGGATCTCTCTGTCGAGATACCTTCCAGCAAGCTGACATCTTCCCATCTTTCAAGGGGCCCCCAAGATCGGGTATAAAAAGAAAGATCCATTGCCCAGGATGCAGGCAAAATGGTGGATACCCAAAGCAGTTTTTTTAATTGGAAAATAATGATAATCCTTTGGAATTGGGGATAAAAAATAACCCCTTTTTCAGACACAAACCCATATATTTGGTGTCTTCGCTTCAAATCCGCTGTCCCACCATACTGTCGCGTTAAAGGTAATTCATGTTTCCGATCTGAATGGCGGTCGCATTTCTGTCAATACATTTCCCAGAGCAGCTGAACCACAGCGAAGGTCAGTTGGTGGGCGCCACTTTGTCTCTATGCTGGCTTCAATGGAAGAACTTCACCAAGGACAGTGGACTGTGACGGTTGGAAAGCCCCAGAAGGATTGGGGCCATGTGGGCATCCCCAAATCAGTCCCGTCTGCGGTTTTCATGTTGGAGCTGATGGTTTTGGGGTGTTGGTTTGAATGCAGGCTTATATATGCACCATCATCCAATAAATGATTTGTTGGCAACAAAGGCGGGCCTTAAGCAGCAACAGCGGCAATTCAGATATGACGAGCTGGCTACGTTGCAGACTCCCACTGGCGACCCTCATGGCTAGTACTGGGAATCATCCTGAAAAATTGCTGATTTCCAGCTTGGGATTCATAAGCTTTCGCTTCAGTTTAGCGGACAGCTAGTTATTTACCAGCTGCATAAATGTTCACCACGCCAGCGTGAACTGATCAATACTGTCCAACAAAAGGCTTTCCTTTTTGACAGCAACAAACACAGTGATACCGGAAGGATCTAAGACTTAGCCAACAAGAAAAAATTGCGCCGGAGAGTTCTTTGACAGAATGTAGGCATCAGTGAAAATACGAACTGGGGGCAGGACCGACAAAAGAAAGCGGGACGGGAATATTCCTAGAACTTGACCCCAATTATTCAGCTGGTGGTCTTCTTTACAAAGAAACGATCCATAGTCCTGTCATGTCCTGCCCTTCTCCCAAACTTTGGGTAGTGACTGTGCATTGTTTCAGGGCCCGTCGGCAACAAAGTCTGTCCTGCAGGAATGCCTTCAAGAACGCCGCGAGGCAGGGTGACACGGGTTTCAGTAGCTGGGTCCAAAAAAGTTAGATGAAGAGTTTTGGGCCAGCACTGGCCCCATGCGTTCACCCCCCTTTTGCTTACTGGTCAGTAGGGAATGGGGGGATGGCCCATACTAAATATTAACATTCATCCTTACAAAGCACTATCCAGGCAGAGATGCGCCAGCAGTTGCAAGAGGACCCGCACAGCATCTGCTGTTGATGGAGTTGGACCGCTGGCCCTTGTTTCAAATCATGTGGATCGGTCCCTCCATCTACCTGGAGAATTTCCAGCATGTGGCCAACCTGGCCATTTCCAATTCCGCTAGGCTACATATTGAACATCCCACTTCACCATCATCTCGTTTTTTTGCGGGAAATCAACATCCCTAAAAATCATGATATAGTTATATAAAAGTGCATTATGCACTTTTATAATTGAAAAACACATATTGAATATTGTATTATATTTATCCGAAAACATATCATATGTATATATATATCATATAAATATATAAATCATTCAACGGCACTTTATTTTCAACATCGCAAAAAACCATGGCATCTCTTCCGTGGCCATCGGCTCCAAGGAGCTGAAGCAACAGAAACGCGAAGCGGAAAAGCTGAATGCACGGGCCCCCTTTTACAAATGGTGGCTGAATTCTATGGTTTATGGATGTTTTCTACGGTTTATGGTAGATATAACATGATATAACTATAGTTTTCATGGGGCTTAGAAACCAGCAGTGGCTGCGATCTACCCCTGTTGATGATTAGTTCGGGTATATTACTGGCCAATAGTCATTGGGGATCATTTCATAATCCAAAAACGGGGAATCCCGTTCTTAACCAACCCGTATAATGCAATGACAGAGGGGTTTTGAACACCGCTCAATTACCAAAAACATGGGGGGAATGGGGCTTAGATCTTGTTGCGGGATTGTCAGCAGCGGAACATGTGAGCCATCTGAGCAAAACTTGATGCACTTAGGACATGAAATCCAAGCAGATCGCCATGAACATGATCAGCGCGGGGCCCCAGAGATTCGTCAAAACCCATGGCTTTGTGAAGGGGATGGCAATGCCGGCATCGGTTTTAATTTTCATTATGGACATCAATAATCTTCACATGACGGGCGGGGTGGTGGTGAAAGTGTTGATGATGGTGATGATGATGATGATGATGATGATGGTGATGGTGATGGTGATGGTGGTGGTGGTGGTGAGGATGGTGAATTTGATGAGGACGATTACAATACCAATGACGATAGGAATTATCACGACGATGATTTTGAGTGGTCTACTACATATTGAAAAGTGTCACCTCTTATTCTTTCGGATTAGTATGTGCGTGCTTTCATAAACACGTTTGATTCCTATGAGTCTATGATTTAGTCTGAGTACTGTGACTGTGGTTGTGATCCCGGTTGTGATTGCGGCTATGGCTTTGCTTCTGGTTGCAATTATGATGATGGGGATGACGGCTGGCTTATTGCCAATTGTTTAGTCTTTACCCCCACCATCATGTGGTTTGATTTCCTTGTTTACCCACGCTTTCTTATGAAAAAAGTTACGTTTCACTTCCATTCAACAATGGGTTGGTGAACCTTTGGCTGGGAACTTCTTGTTTGTATTCCTCAAGTTTCGTTGGTAACTTCTTCGGCTCAATTATTTTGGGCTTCGGCACCTTCGGCACCTTCAAGCACCTTGTTGAATCTGGATGCTATTTCCCAGTCGGTTCAATGACTTCTAGGCGGAAGCATTCCAAAAAATCCCCATGGTTTTTGGTTTAAACCTTAATTAATTACCCATCAAAACGTGGGGTAAACCTTAATTTGAGGTAATTACCCATCAATGGAAGCATTATCCATTTGTTTAGCCTCATCTTTTGATGCTTCCACCGTTTTTGTCGGCGCCGTGCCAGGCTTTGAGCGAAACAGCGTCATCTCCGTGTGTCTGGTAGCATGGCGTCAAGCAGCACAGGCGTGGGACCCAGACGGGGGTAAAATGATGCCATAAACCACCCATGACTCGGAATGGTTTATTGATACCTAAAAAAATGGTGATTTGGGGGATGGTTTATTATTGGTTTACCCCCGTTATTGAAGGTGCAGATGCATAACTATGCATACATGTGAGCTACAAATATTTCTTGCTTTGTTTACTTCTCAACATCCGCATTGTTTCGCTACGTGGTTGTCTGGGAGGAATATAGGTGGGCCACAAATGTTCCTATGATTGCGAATATGTTCATATATGTTGGGGTCACATCGAGTCATACCTCCATTTTGGTCAAGTTTTTGGATTCTGCAGATTTACGACGGTGCACCTTCGGAGGCATACTGCCAGAGAGGACGTTAATATCAAGATATGGCAAGCAGCAAGTGGAATGTACATATCTAGATACCCATAGGCGCCAAAGCTTTTTCCTTGTGCGACTATTCCGCCAACCTCATTGGGAGACGGGAGGAAGATGATGGATTATATAGGGGCGTAAGTAGCCAGGTGTTTGAGGATCTAACTTCAGAAATCGCAGCGTCATGAAGATCTGGGATTGGCGATGAGGATACCGCCTACAAGAAGTTAAAGGCAACAAAGATGGTTTTTGGCTTCTAAGCCACCACTTCCAGACCCGATAGGTTGCTTGTTGCCATTCTTGATGGGCTTCTTGAAGATCATTCTTGTCAAACATGGATGATATCACACCTATTTTCACTGGTTAGGCACCCCGTGACAGTTTCAACCCCCCCATTCATCCCATGGCTTAAAAGCTGGTGGAAAGTTACCGTTTGGACCAAAGCCATACATCGGATTGCCGTTTATTCGCATATATCTCCATGTGATTGGTTTCATACTAAAGTGGTTAAATCCTTGTTGGTGGTAAACAATGGTTGCTCATGGTACCCTTAAGCCTGCCTTGAATTCCTTCACCTTCAGGTGTCCAAGCATGAAGCAGAAGAAGCATAAACCTCAAGGGAAAGCGGTTATATTAGGGATACCCTCTTGGTAAACTAACATGATTATGGAAAATCACAATTTTTAATTGGTAAATCAACTATAAATGGCAATTTTCAATAGCTATGTCAAATTACCAGAGGGTAACTGTTCTTTCCCCACAAGGGTGGGATGAACAGGTCCTGACAGCCATTTGGCGCCGCAACCACAGTACTTGGTGGTGTATGGCATTCGGTTAGCACAAGGGCTCGCCATGCGGCCGCTTCAACGACAGATTCTTTCCAGAGTTTCAACGGCATATGGCACTAGGGCCCGTTTTAGAACCACAGTCATACCCACTTCATGGATTTCTCAGCTGCTTTTTTTTGGCAAATTACCCTCGCAGCATCTGCAAGCAAAATTTGTAAGCTGGGTGCTGAAGCCCATGTTCATAAAAGAAGAATTATTGTCCAAGTAGCCGGGATGGTATCACCCTATTTTGTTGCCGAGGAAGAGTATAAAGCCAATTACGCTGCTGGAAAATGGTTCCTTTTGGTTTCCCTATTCTCCCTGTTTTCCCTGTGATCCCCCACCAAGGCTGCTGAGAAACAAAAGATGCAAGAGGAGCCTGAGATGCGAAGTACCAGTCATGTTTGTTAGCGGAAAAACCCAATGAGTTATTGGCACCTCCTCCATAAACCCAATAAGCTTCTGGGTTCTTTTTCAAGATATCTCAAACTGATGCTTCAGTGGTGGATGGTTGGGGCTGCAATCTAATAAGATAGTGAATAGGCCCCGGAGCAATGTTTTGCGGCAAGCCTTTGAATCTGGCCATACTCATTGCATCCTCCTGCTGGAAACCTTTTTCGGTTTTTCGAAATGGCTGTAACATAAAAGACGGCAATTCTACATTGGCTCGACTCCTGGTGAGGACTTCAACCAATTCAAGTCCAAAGCAGACAAGCACATGCTGGTGCCACACCCAGAGCCTTCGGGCTCATCACTTCACCTCAGAAAGTCATGCGCTGATTGGATAAATTTGTCATCGTGTGACTTGTTGGGTATCAGCTAAACCCCAAGTGAAGGTAGCGGTGGATATTTGGCAAAAAGCCAGTGTCCAAAAGGTAAGGCCCAAGTTACCTAGTACGCATTCCCATCGCTGCTCTAGAGATTCAGTCCCTTGCACTTTGCCATATCTTGTTGGATGTTGGATGATGTTGGCTACGCCCATAATTTTGTTGGTGGGTCAGTTCCTACTTAAGAGGAGGTCCCCTAATATTTGCCGAGGCGACCCGGGACCGCATGGCCATGCAGCTCGTGGGATGCTGGGCGCAGTTTTGGCTGGGGATATGGAGTTTTAACCAGAAAGAAATAGGGTTTTTAATGGATTTGATGCCTGGCTCAACAACTTGATATGATAAAGGCTGTGTCTGACAATGGGCTGTACCTCCAAACGACCATATTTTCATATCTAATATGACGATAAATCAGGGGATTTGGGGGTATCAGTCAAAACCTCTGTCACCTTTGCAAAATGATGTTTGGAGTAGTTTTCATACAATCAGATTTTGGGCCTACAGTACTCCATAAGGATTAGACGTCTTTCAATACTTTTGGACATCGACGGTGAGATGGGCCAACAAGAATGGTAAGCTTTCACCGGCCAAGGTGCCAAGGTCTGGCTGTGTCACCAACCAGAGAGGATCATGTAACACACTAAGGAATCTGGGATGGCTTGAGGACGGCATATGTTCTTCTAGTTCAGTAGCTGATTGAGAGGCTGGATTAGCTCGAGGTTTAAATGTGGTAAAGCCGGATGGCCCGGGGACTTGATATTGGCATGGCTTCCTTACCTATCCCAGGCTGGAACCTCATCCCAATTCCACATTGGATGAGTATCATATGTAACTAAATGTGACTCAATCATGATTATCATGGGCAAGCTTAGCATGCAACGCGCAGGATTTGTCAACTTTTCACACCGTTCCAGGTTATTTGCACCAGCTTAGAAGCCATGTTTCAACATAGTCAGCCAAACGATTAAGCGTACAATATTCGGTTCAACCGTTCAACCAGTTTTCAACCATTTTTCCTATGTTTCATAGCTGAGGGGCCCGTACTACCATCACATACCACCGGCCCAGGAAAAGAAAAAGGCCAGCTGCTGAGTGCCATGTTCGGCTTGTGGCGCGGTGCCGCCAAGGACCACGTTACGTCGGTTGTGATAGCCCTGCATCGCCCTGCTGCATCCCCTCCGGTCAGTTCACATAGCTAGTGAAAAATGGCCATGTATAGTTGGTGTATTAAATTTTGGTGGTTTTCCATAGCTATGTTAGTTTTCCAGAGGGTAAGGTATAATGACCAACTGGTCGACAAAGCTTCTGGGCCAGGTCAATTTTGAGCCATCCAGCTTGATGTTTGTTTTTGAGCCAAAACATTTTGCGTTAGCAAAACCAAGACATGCCAAAATGGGGATCATGGTTTTCGACCTTTCCAATGCAGAAAATTTTGAGGGTTTTGGATGGCCTGTGAATTCATGGGTCTTGGGTCTTTGGACTTTTCATGTGGGCACTTCGGCCCACAGATGAGGGAAGTGAGGACATAGGTTCAGAATGCCTGGCCCATCTCGGTTTTTTGGCGCCGTCCTGCAGGAGGAAAAGACGGCGCGAGAGCAGGCTTCCCTGGAATCAACATGGGGTTCGGACGCCGTTCACCAGTCAAAATCTTTGGGCTGCTTTCTACGGAAGCAAAACAAAGAGCCTTGCAAGTTTGACATGAAGTTTGAGTGCAGGTGTCAACCACTGTAGCTAGGCAGGTGGCTTCAGCCTAAAGCTCATGGAACTCCCCATCATAAAGACCCATGTGTAGCATTCGATCTCTTCACTGGGGCCCCCTTTTTGGTATGGTATGGTATGCATCAAGGGAAAAGGGTTTTCTTTACGTCCATTTATCTTCAGCACCAGGCCGAGCGCGAGCGGTTGGCGAAAGTGGAGTTGGCACGTGTGGATGGCCTGCGACGTGTACTGCCGGCACATCTTTGGACACCGTTTCTTTCTTGGGGTTCTAGTGGGAAAATCTTTGGGGTTAGCTTTACCATGTGGTGAATACGTTTTTCAACACAGCCATTGTCATGGGCATATGGTCCATGAAGTCAGTTCCGATGGATAGTGTGCCCATTGGATTTGAACCACCTCTATTTTTGCTTGTGTTTTCATCCTATGCGCAGACCATCTGACCATCTGAGAAGCCATCCGAGTGGCCAGGATACCCCCAAAACGGACATACTACGGGCTAATGAATCGTGCAATGCTTCGGGGATCACCTGGCAGGAAGCAGCAAAAGAAAAGGCGTTTCGTGGCAGCCTTGGTTGATCACCTCCTGTCGGTGTGGCTGCTGCGAAAACGCCTCAAGGTCAATAGGTCTAGCAAGCATCGCGCTTCGCCCACCACAAATAGCGGCCCCGAAAATCCCCCGAAAACAGTTTGAAGACTTATCTTCACTAGTGTTGTTTATTTGGTGGCCCTTCGTGTTTGCTGCGCGCGCCATAAAATTAGAAAATACAAGGAAGATTAGCAGGAATATCCTTTCTATTGATATTGACATTTGCTGTGGGATGCCTTGGTCTCCATTTGATTTGCCGTCAACCAGCCGAATATTTTTTTCGTGCTGTTGCTAATGCCCTTACCTGGGAAAAACCTTGAGGCACAGCAGGGCGCTTTTTCGAGAATCACAACAAGGGCGTGCTCTTGGAACCTTGGCTGGAAAGGGGTTGACAGGCATCGGGTGGTCTTAAAAGGGCTAACAGCTAAGCTTGGATGACTCCAAGGCCGATGTTTTGATTGCATTTGACCACCTTGCTGCATATTGGGACCACTCTCCTAAAAACATGCCGTTTCCTCGCAATTAGTCAGTCTGGTTTTTTGGTTTGATGAAGTAAAGACAGGGGTAGACAGATCTCTGTTGCACCGTTTGCTGCGCCTTGACTTTTATTTGAACAAAGTGCACAACCACCAAAATGATGATAACCTTCGTTCTTTTCCTTATCTTCTTACCTCTCGAAACAGTGGCAAACATCACCGCACCACTAGCACCATATCCTGGGCAATCTAAGCACCAAGGAAATCTTCTTGCACTTTCGTCAGCCGTCGGCCTGTTTTTGCTGGTGTTGTTGGAGATTATGTTTGGGCGTATACATTCGCAATTGGCTTGGAAAATCTTTTTTTGGACCCCCCATAACCCCATTGCAAGGGCTTTTAGGGGACGCGCTCTGCGCCTTGCCGTCCACCTGCGATGCTGCGAAAGAATTTGGTTAGAAGATTTCCTTCCCTCGGCTTTGTAGTTAGCTTGTGCTGCCCCACACGAAAACAACCATCAGTTGATCATTAGTTCTTCTCCCAACTTTTGCAACAATTCCCCTCCAACTTCGGCCGTTTCAAATTCTTAAGGATGTCCTGCACCATGTAAAGTAGCCCTTTGGGCGGTTTTTCCTTACACCTTTGATAGACCCAACAGGTGGTGCCTGTTATTTAACCGAATATATCCCATGGTAGCTTGTACATGTACACCCCATGTCTGGTTAAATCAAGTTGTGTAATTCTTCTACTCGCTGCTCCCTCTTTTTGCGGAGCCTTTTTGCCCCGGCCAGGGAAGTGTGTGGAACTGAGCATCAAAGAGCGGAAAGTGGATGAAGCCAAAGAGGCACATGAGGCCCGGACTTCTGTGCCATGGCTGGGATTCTTGGTGTCTTAGTGTGGGATCAATATCACCCATCCCCAAAAATCAACACGGGCGGTATATACACGCTAGGTTTTTAGGCTGTCCAAATTCACGGTGTAACCCACGGGATTTAAGCAGCCAAAGTGGGTGGCTTGATTCACCAAAGTGGAAGTAAAGGGATTCGACCAATGAAGCAAAGTTTCCATGGTAGTTTATTGGCTCTAACTCTCAAACGCAGGGGGTTAAGCCAACAAAAAGGAAGCTAACAGAATGGGGGTCATGGGGCTAATACTGTATGGGGGTATGTGATGGGATGATGTGGGGTCGCTCCGCAACTTCAAAGATTTCACAAGAAACCGGGTTCAAAACCATAAATTCTGTGGTACAGCCGAATATGGGTGCAGTAATTTTGGTTTGTTTTAAACATTCTGTTCCTGTTATCGCTTAAAAGATTCTTTGAGCACAATCAACTGGAGTTGTCGGGAAGAGCATGCTTTTACACAGGAAGAGGTGAAGAAGATGGCCAGGCTGCACGGTGTGGGCCTCGGTTTTCTACATTGTGGGCCCAAGTTTCTTGTCGACCAACAAGCCTGATGTTTTTTAGATTGGATTATGATAGGCGGGTCTGTTCTGATGGCGTTCACTGCTCGGTTGCTGGGTATGCTGACATGGTTAGATTGGCTCGTAAACCGCTAGATGGTGCGGTGGGGGGGGCACGGTTCTACCAACAAAAGCGTGCTTTGACCAAAGCAAATATGAATAAGGGACATGAAGCGCGGGGGCCATGAAGCGCGGGATTCAACCACAACAAAAACCAAATTGTGAACATGGCTCACAATACTGCTGGTTTTCCCATCCAAAATAGGAATGGAACTAACAAACATGGGGTTTACCTGCAAATTCATGCAACAAAATTGGAACGGGGGTGGAATTCCGGTAAATTACTGGAACTTCATTGGCTGACCCCGCCGTGCACCATGGTTTACATATGGGAATGGGCCAGAAACAGCTCAACAAATCTGGTTGGGATCTTGTGTAGGTTTCGCCGGTGAATGCCGGAATTTACCTTCAGGGGTTTGGCAGTAGAAAAACGCCGGCACATGATGAAACAGCTTGTAAAGCTATAGCTCAAAATGTTTGAAACCGTGAAACTTGTGTTCAAAGCAAAAGAAAATACAGCGGTATTTGATACATGGCTGGTTGATGGGAACCCATTTAGGTATGGATTGATCCAACAAAATGCGAATCCAGTGGGGCTATACGGGTGCGACACCTTAATGCTTGTGTAAACAAAAGCTGGGCATGCAGTCTGCATAGCCTCTGAAACTTGAAGGTCTTAATTTAAAGTAGGAAGGCTGGCCAAGGAAATGAGAACACAACCAACAAAGATAAAGGTTCGACCCTGGACAGGGGGTTCATCAGCAACAAGTAAAGAGATTCAACCAAGGACAGCAGAGCAATAGCTAACACCAACAGATTTGACACCCAGGCCTGACTACATGGCTGGTGATTTCAGCAAGAAGGAGCTTGATCTCACAACATTTTGGATACCCCAGAAATGCAATGTGGCAATAAGAATTTGTAAACAAACCCGAGATGATGTCAACAATACTGGCGTCCAGTTGCGCAGCTGGTTTAGAACCGGTCGCCTTCGCTCAGGTGACCGCCGTGCCAAGTTTATCGCAAACACCGTGCAAGGCGGGTCCAGCTGTGCACCACCAGACTTGACAGCCGGATCCTGGGCGTTTGTGGCGTAGTGCTTGGTCATGGTGAAATGTGATGTTACCCCGTTACCCCTGCAAAAAAAGAAACAAACATGACGCCAACCCGGCTATTTTTAAACAAAAATGCGCGCCTTCACCCACGTTTGCAGTTTCCAGCTGTCAAGTTTGTTCGTTTTTATGGCTAATGTTGCTTGGCAGCTGACTTTCGGCGACTTTTCCGAGCTGGGTTGAGAGGCAAAGAGAGGATCTTGCTCTTCAACAGCGTCAAGTCAACACCTCGGCCACGGTATGAAAAGAAAAAGGTGGTGGCTTCACCCAACATGCACAGCTATTCCCCAGTTTTGCCCTTTGGTTTGCTCATTGCTGACAATCCTCCTTGAGTTTGCCGTTTCACAATCACAACCTGCTTGGTTGTTTGACTCAGGATTTTCCACCCCAAAGCAGATATGACCCCATGCAATTACTATTTAGTAGCAGCCAATATTCAGGGGTGCCCGGCTCAAAGACCAACCTTGAGGCAGTGCTTGGCTGCATGGGCCCAATTTGCATGGAGCTCAGTGAATGATTTGACCCTTTGGTGGACGTTTTGGCCAGCAACAACGTTGGTTTTGGGTTTCTCATGTTGTAACGTCTCACTATAATTTCCTTATGCTTGGATCGACACGGTGGAATACACCAGCAAAGCATTGGAGGAATATGGTCGTCAACAGCAAGAAAGTTGAGCATCAATTGTACATATTCAAATTCATTAGCAGGGACGGTTGGTAAACGGGCAGGACGGCGGGAAGACCTTCTGTTGAGTTTGATTCTGTTTCTTGCCCAAACCTTGTTGTTGAAACAGCTTGAATGTTCGGAATTCATCAACATGTATGCCATCATGGTAATCCCTCAAAGCTTATAGCTGCTCTTTCAGCTTGTTCGACATTAAGACCGTCCCTCGGGTCTGCTGACCACGGCACATGCGTCAGGTATTTCAGAGCCGACTTGAGCTGGCGCGCGTCGCAGCCGAACGCCGCCGGTATGCTTTTACCACGCTTTGCTTCGCATCTAGGGGATACTTTAAGAACCGGGCAATGCAAAAATGTATTTAAAAAAATGGTCTTTCCAAACAGAATGATATTTACATATATTTGCCCTAGACTATTGGAGGCCCCTCTTTACGCATAAGTGACATGATTTTCCGCAATGGAGACAGATGCAACTGGAACGGGCACATGGGAAGCGATCCTACTTTTTAAGCCCCTTAGCCCCCTGTACAATACGTCGTTGTTGATGATGCATTATGTTGTTGTTGGCCGTCATTGCGCCATTTTCCGAGGCTTCATTCCCAATTTTGTTGATAGCCCTGATATCCCAATCTGGTTTTTGGTTTGAATTATTTGCTTCATGCCCTTTTTGAAATGATTTTCTTGAGTGGTTTGAAAGCACCCCCCTGCAGTGTACCTACCCAGCTTCAAACCAAACCGCCACAGGCCCGCACAGAACAAGAAGAGAAGCTAAAAGAGGCTTTCTGAAAGCCGTCAGCGATGTGGTCAAATTCAAATTGTGAATAGTGGGAGTCGGACCGCCAAGATATAGTATTCGATCAACGGAATATTTGGTTGGCTTGTGCCAATTTTTGAGGTATATCATATATATCACCAAGCTTGGGGTGCTCTGGAGACTCTGGGGTGCTCTATTTTGAGACGCATGAATCTTGGTGAATCTTGGTGAACCGGTGAACCCCTCAACAGCAGGAAATTTCATGCGAATTCAAGGTGAACCCCCGACAATGTGGATGTAAGCGATGTAAGCGCTCAAAGCTTGCGCGGGCGGGTGTAGCCAAACACAATGCGGGTATAACTTATCTAATTTCAAGAGGAATGAAAAGCATGTTTTCTGATGATTCAGCACGGGTAGGTACATATGACACTTTCTATGGGTACGGTACGGTGGGTACAGTGGGTACGGTACGGTGGGTACGGTGGGGTACGGTACGGTGGGTACGGTGGGTACGGTACGGTGGGTACGGTGGGTACGGTACAGTGGGTACAGTGGGTACAGTGGGTACGCTACGGTGGGTACGGTGGGTACGGTACGGTGGGTACGGTGGGTACGGTGGGTACGGTACGGTCCGTGCAGGTACGCACTACCCACCGTACCGTACCCACCGTACCCACCGTACCGTACCACCGTACCCACCGTACCATACCCACTGTACCCACTGTACCGTACCCAGCGTACCCACTGTACCGTACCCACCGTACCCACCGTACCGTACCCACCGTACCCACCGTACCGTATACCCCACTGTACCCACCGTACCGTACCACCGTACCCAACGTACCGCACCCTTCACCGTACCATCATTTTTGAGGACCGTACCCCCCCACAGAGCATTATACTCTTGAAATTTGATAAGGTATAACAACTGCACCCAAGAGTCTTTTACGGACATGGTGGTATCCGAAGTTATGTGTGTGCGCGTGCTCGTCATGGCCCGGAACCTGAAGCAGCATGAAAGCAGTCCAGCATTTATGACCTCAATATCATTATTCTGGAAATCAACATCACCATCATCATCAGTCTTCATCGTCATGAAGTCCAAAGTCAACTTGCATATGGTCCAAAGCCGGAAAGAACATATCTTTTGGACGGGTCAGCTTCCAGTTTTTGATGTTCAGCAAAAGATTGGTCGGAAGACTGGTGTTATGCCAGGAGTTGAACAACATGAAGAGTGCGCTGAAGAACCACTCCAAGAAGTCGGCCGGTCCCAGATCCCGATGCGATTGATTCACCAACCACAGGATGGACTTTGACCGACACAGACTGGATTCGTACCCGCAAAAAAAGGATTTAACCAACAAAATGGGACAGCGATGTTAAGTAACAATCACGGGGTTGGCCAAGAACCCAAAGCGTTGAACAAAGAAACACGAGGATTTCATGCCGCCAGCGTTCAACACTGGGGATTTGGCTTTTCAAACCAGTCTATCCTTACAGCTAAAACTGGGAAATAAGCAGCTGAATAACAAAGATATGATGCCTTCCCGGAAATGACCAATGAGCGTGGATTCATCAACAATAGCAGGGGCATCCTCCGAAGATATTTGGTTTGTTGAGATGCTAGTGGAAAATGACACAGCATTGCAGACAAAACATGAAGTTTCAATGATGGATGATCCGCTCAAAGTTACATAGCTGAGCTATGGCGGCACGGGGGCAACAAAAATTGTATTGCGTTCTAGGGAATATTTTTAGCGGCGTCCCCTGTCAGACTGAGTGTTTTCAAAGGGAAGCTCATATCGTTGCTGCCGGGCTTTGTGTTGAATTGTTGGTCTGTAGCGTCCCCAACCGTATCCAAATCACCCCTATCACCCCTGCATCAAACAAGAGTTCATGCGAAAACAGAATATCTACAGGGCGCGTCGACCATTGAGGAATGCAATTTATGCCTCCATGGGTCAACGCCTCAGATTTGAGAGGCCTTGCCGCATTTCCCGGGTGGCCTATAGCGGTCTGAAAAAACAAACAGAGCTTTCGAAATCATGTCTTCATGTTTTGATTCAAATCATGGGGGTTCACCTTCAGGTTCATGTTTCACCCCTTCTTTGGTTTTGCGAAACCCGCCAAGTCTCGGCGTCACTGAGAACGCCAGGAAACGAGCAGGCCAACCATCAGTTCCTGATGCAGCAACTGGGCTGTTGGATGTGTAGCTGGACGGCCACACACGGCTGAAGCCAGTGAGTACTTGTAGGACATAAAGATGTAAAATTGGCAAAAGTATGGTATAACAAATTTGCGGTTTCTTCCGTCAACATCAGGATTTAACGAGCACATGTTTGAATTTAGCAAGAAAAATAGGATAAAGATTCCTGCCAAGAACATGTGATTTTGAGGGCTGCGGACTGGGAATCAAATTTGGCGGTGCCCGAACTAGACGGGGGCATGCGGTCATTAGTGGCCGGGAAAAAGGGGTTGTGATGGGGTGTTTGATGCAGCTTTACCAAGAATTTCTGACCAGAACCATAGGTTGCAGATGGGGAGGAACTATCTTAAGCACGCATCTTCTCGAGAAGTAAAGGTTTCCGGCCTTAACACGGAACCAATTTTTGGGTGTGCAGTCGGGACCCTAGGGTGGGAAACCACCATCTCTCCCATAGGCCCTTCCAAAAATGTTCATATATTTTGTGCTGGGGTGTGCATCGGTAGATAAGATAGTAAACAGGTTTGGGAAAATGAGTGTCCAAAATTTTTTGCTGGGGTGTGCATCGACGGGTACCAGCACACGGCTGGGTACCCCTAGGTCCTAATGACTTTCTGAAGCAGCTACAGTTGCTCAGCAATGTTCTCAGCTGTACATGGCCTTGAAGTCCGCACCGGATAACATGGATCCAAGGCGACTGTTTGGGGAAACGCCGGCATGTTGGCCCTTTCGCGCGTCTAACCACTAGATGACATTCCCTTTCAAGCCTTTTCTGTATGGCGACTCTTGGCCAGGGTAGAGTGCCGGGTGAAATCGATCATTCTTTATCACGCGGTTTCCCAATTGTTTTACCCGCAATGTACCAGCAAAATCTTTTTTCAGCGTTGGAATATGCGACCATTTCTTTCCGATCTTCGCGATGGTGTTGTTACCAATTTTGGCCAGGTTTGGAAGGAATACCGAGCTGAGCAGGTGCGGTGTTGGGTAAGCAGATTGAAACCGCAGCTTGTTTGCAGCTAGCATCTGAATCTAAGATCGTCGCTGCGTGTAGTACAATGGCTGTAGGCGATGCATCTTTTGAAAGTTAAATTAAAGTGCTGATGGATTGGGGTGTACACATGAGAACTGTCCGCATGGATCTGGACTTGCTCATATCCATCTGATACATGAGGCTTTGAGACGTGTATCCCCATGGCTTCGGAAAGGAAGTATTTTTTCGATTCAACATGTGTTGCGTTAGCTCTAGGGCGTTCCACGACCTCGCAGGCTGTGCAACGCTTCTATGAAGAAAAAATCGCCCAGCTACGGCCTCAGGGTCTTTTTTGCGGCGACCAAACTGGTATGGGTC